TTTGCACCAATTGAAGTGTTTGGACCGTCTTCAGGGGAAGCCCCACGTATTTGCTCAATTTTGGAGGAATGAAGAACAACTGACCAAAGAGCTGATTCTAAAAAAGGTTCTGGATTCTGCGGAAATGAATAGACTGACTCTGTCATTGAAGGAGAAGGAAGATAAATACTTCTATCAAACTTGGAATCTTTTTCATCATTAGTTAGCGAAATGGGACTTTATGTAGAATTGACCATGGTTATTAATTTTAAGTAGAATAAGATGTGGACCCAGTATGTTCGATGCCTTGGGAATAATTGTTGTTTTTAATTTGAACCTGTAGGGAAAATAATAAAAAAATTGAAAATGAAAAAAAGAAGTTTGTGACCGCTCACCAGTTAGGGAGGAATATGTGTTTGGGATTTTATGAATTCAGAGGAAGATATCTCTCTCTGTCAAAGTCTAAGAGATCAAAGGTAGTGAATAAAATGTCTGCCATCTTTCTGGAAGTGATTTAAGTGGATTCAGACATGCAAACTTATGCAAAATAAATCTCTTAGTCCATACAATGTCACAAATCTTTGTGTGTTTTTGCTGCTTCTGCTCCTGCTGTTGTTCTTGCAGAAAATGAATATTTCCACCAAATGAAATATTGCTGCCGCAGATATATGATGCTGAACAGAGGTCCTGTTTCACAAAAGGCATAACATATTCATGATATTAATCTGCTTAGATGGCTTTTAAAGTTAAAAGCATGAAGATCCCATTCACATCTCCCCTTCCTTCATCATTCCAGGAAGTTAATGAAATCCTCTTTCCACTAGAGCCTAGAAAGTGACATCAGCTAAGAGGGTTTTCCTTCTTTTGGTGAAAGGTTGAGCCATTTTCTTCATTTTTTATTTTCTCATACATGCTGTGTTGCTTGTTTTTGTGGTTTGTGCATAGGTGTGATTACCTGCCAGGCCTTAATTTGCGTGAGGTTCCATCCTGGCCCAACTCTTCTTAACTTGTGTTTGGCCCTCATGAAGAGCATGGGTGGCTAGATAGACAGCATTGTAGACATTGTAGCTCTGGCCAGATAGGCCCATTTCAAACACAGATCCTGGAAGGCTCCCCAGCTTCTCCTTCCCTGTGCGCATTTCCATGTTTCTGGAGAAATAATCATCTTCTGGAAATAAACACTGAAACAGAAAAAAATATGGCAAAACTATTCAACTGATATGGATTTAGAGTCTCCAGAAAGTCCTGAAATCCTGGCACCACATTAGTATGGAGAGTGAAGGACAAGGCACCATGGAAGGACTTGGAGGTGAATTTCTGCCCATAAAGAACAGCAGAGTTATCCCATTCTGCTGTTCTGATCCACACCTTTTCCAAAGGGTGCAGGTGTAAAATCTCATTCCGGTATAACATTATTTGTAAGCCCTCCATAGATTGATTATCACCATAGACAAGAAACACACTGATTTCATTGTGCAGGAGAATTGATTCCATGAGTCTCATTTTGTCTTCATATGTTTGCACAGTGGAAAATACTGACAACATACTGACAGCAAATCTTGCTCTGGAGGAGCCTTGCTCTCAGTGCCTGAAGGAAGGTTTCTCCACCCTCATCATCTGAAACAAGGAGGCCAATCCAGGTCCACCCAAAATGCTTCAGGAGCTGCACAATCCCAGCATACTGAAGAACTTCCCTTGGCAACATCTGATAGAAAGCTGGAAAGCGACTTTTGTCTCTCAGCACAGGATCAAAGGAGCCATAGCTGAACTTTTGGAGGGAACAGAAAATGTGAAGGAAGAAATCTGGTCTTTTCAAACTTCAACAGACTATACAAAAGGTCAGCCAGAATTACAATCCTGATCACCTTCAACAGCACTTAATTCCATGCAGTTACCTGTGGGATCTTGTAGGAATTTAAAATATGGGTCCCCTGCATGGAGTTGGGAGAGGTGAGTCCACCAATGACAGCCATCAATTTCTCTTCACTGGCACAGATGTAATTGGGAGGATCCTCTTTCCATTACACAAATAATGCAGAAGATTCCAAGTGATTTCTATGGAATGAGAAAGATCATCTTGAATCATGAATCCCAGTGTAGTGTTTGGTATCAATTGAGCATCCTTGTTGATTTCTTCAATGACAAAACAAAAAGCAAGAGCATGCTGGAAGTTTTTGAAGACAAGGCTGCAATGAGATAGCCACATGATCATAACCTTGATCTTAGAGTTCCAACTGCAGGACAACTTGCCCTGTGATTTCCTCATCTATGTGGGACATTTCCAAACACAGGGCAGGGACATCTTTTTGAAATGAAGAATAAAGGTGGGGGCTAGATTTCAGTATGACCCATCCTGTCTCTCACCATGTTCCTTCCCATCCCTTCCCCACCATAGTTTGTGGTAACATTGTGGGTAGCATTGAATTCCTATTACTCTTCCAGAGTTGTCCTCTTTTGTGTGGTTGTGGGGAAGGTATTCCTGGAGAAGTAGTGCTTTCTGCTAATGTGGACAGCCTCATAGGAAAAATAACTGCAAGCTTGCATCTATGTCCAGAGTCTCTAGAAATTCCATGTCAAATATTTTGTTCAAGTGAAGAGCATGTACAGATTACAGATTAAGGAGGAATGCCATGTCCTAGGATAAAGTCTCCTCCAAATATATTTTCTTAAACCTAATTTATCCTTGTATTGCCAGTGCTTCTGCATCTTCTAGCATTAGTGCAGGGGAAATAATTGAATGTCTTTCTCCAAGGTTGAGACAAGAGGTAAACAAAAACAAAAAAATGGACTTCTGTTGAAAAGAAGCATTTTTTATGTCATGCTAAAAATCATCACTGGGCATATGGCAGGTGCTCTATAAAACCAAATAAAATAAAATAATATGAAGAGAGATTTACTTACTAACGATTTAACTTAACTGAACCTGGGATTTGCTCAAAGTTCACAGTGGTCCAATTATCAATTTTAACAGAAACCAGTTCACCTATGAAAAACTCATTGAAATTTTGAATTGAATCAGATTGATTTGCTTTGCTCAAACTGCTGCTGGCACAGAAAGATGGCAGCCGAGGAAGCAGAATCCAGCAGAGTGCTGAAAAATCTGGGATCCAGCCTGAACTACATGCCTTCATGTCCTCCAATGGCCACCAGCAACAATATTGATTTTTGCAGAAGATGCCAAAAACCTCAGGCAGGAAGAGCTGCCACTGCCTCAAAATTCCCTCACTGACTAGGCTGAAGTCTCTTGTTTGGACACTGTGTTTTAAAGATTTGGCACAGAATATCACAGTCCACCTATATTGTTTTTGGTGTGTACTTGACACAGGGCTTGCATTACCCCAGGGGATGGCAACACTCCTGCAACTGACAGCACTTGATATTTGCAGGGCAGGTCATCTGTTATGCCCATTGGCTCCAGTCTGAGAGAGAGAAATTGAAAAGTGCCTCACTCTAGGCTCTTACTGGCTTCATCTCAGGAAAAAAATGCTACTCTCCAGAGAGTTCTGTGGAGTGAAACAGCATCTTGGAGAATTGGCTAAACTTTCTGCATAGATCAAGATGAGTGAGAACTGGTGAAAAGAAATGGTTGCTGAAAATGTACTCAACATCCAAATGGTGATCAAAGTTCCTAGGAGCGGCTCCTTCTGGGACAGACCATGGATCCATCTCTATTCTCCATGCAGCCCAGGAAGCTTGCTCCAAGATCTCTCCCTGAGGTTTTTTAACCTGGATCCCTCATACTTGCAACACATGTAAACCAAGACTTCTGCTACTGAATGGTGGCCATTTATCATTGGCCACTCAACCCGTTTATTCCAGTGATTTAGATATTTGTTAAAGGATGGGCTGGAAGGTAATTTAGATACCTGACAAGCAAGACACATGGCTGGCTATTCACTGAGTGATCCATGTTGCTCCTTGCAGATAACCAGGCTTGCTGAAGATTCCCATCTCTCCCACATTCCTCCTCAATCATCCCACCAGTTCTGGAATGTATCCCAGGTGCATTTTTGGCATACCCCTTCTCATCTCCTCACGATCACATTCTTGCAGCTCCTGCAATTTCACAGCACTTTATGGTGCACTTATGTTGCTCATCACTCTTATGAACTAGGGATGGACTAGGGGCATGCTATTATTTAACAGCATAATCTCATCCCACTGCATGTTTGCAAGAGGTGAGCACTGAGAAATGTCAACATAAGGTTGCACTCTATGGAAGATACATGGTCTCATGGTGAAATGCTCCAAGATTGGAATATTTATTCTTCTTGCCATCCTGCATCTCACTCTGGATCAGGCAGTTTTGAACAACTGGCAGCCATATGCTTCTGCAAAGCCCTCCTTGGTGGTATGCAACCTTCCCAGAATGTGCAGTCCTAAATAAGGCTGAGCAGCTGTGGCAGGGGCCAGAGCTTCATCTGCACAAGCAATGATACAGCAGTGTCTCTCCCCATGAATAGCGGGTGCCTCTCACTTGTAATATTTTTTATTTCTTCCTTTATTAAGTTTAGGGGGGTTTTTTAGACTGTCTCTTACTGTTCTCTTCAGTCAGATTCACAAGAAGACAATATATACTGCCAGGAAGATCCAAGGCATTTGAGTAAAATATACCTGGAGCATGACAAGTTGAATAAGAAAACCACTGGCACACCCTTTTTGGCCTATGAAAATGAACTCTGCAATTCTGGGAACATTTCAGTAGGTTTTGAGTATCACAGACAGACTACTTACTGAATTGGACTAAAAGCAGGAGACTCTTCCTCCAAAAGCTTCAATCGTTATCTGTTTATATCAAGTATCACAGCCAGAATATTTACTGAATAGGACAAAAAAAAGGAGACTTGCTTCAAAACTTCATTGCTTATATGTTTATTTCTGGCAAATCACACACACTTTAAAAATTGTACATTCCAACATGACTTGAAACCAAAATATTTAAAAACTCTGTTGACCCTGTGAAGCTTGCCATTCCCACAAGAACGCCAATGCTAAGGAATACAGAAGTACCCCACACAATTCTAAACCCTCTTCTTCTTCACTATTTGATCTCGGGTGTTCAGCTCCGGCCTCATCATGATGATGTAAATCTTCGGGAGGAAGATACAGGCCAGCAAGCCAGCACCGGAGGCCAGGATGGAGAAGACCTCCACAGCCACTATGTACTTCCCCTTGGTGCTCAGGTAGGTGGGCACAAAGGAAACCCACACACTGCAGAAGACCAACATACTGAAGGTGATCAGTTTGGCTTCATTGAAGCTGTCAGGCAACTTCCTGGCAAAGAAAGCCACCGTGAAGCTGATACTGGACAGAACTCCCATGTAAGACAGGAGTAGGTAGAACATGAGAGGTGAGCCTTCATTGCATTGAACAATGATTGCATCTGTTTGGGAGTGCATGTCCAGCTCTGGGAAAGGGGCAGAAGTTGCCAGCCACATAACACAGATGCCACCTTGAATAAGTGAAGAGAGAATGATGACAGAAGCTGCCAGTCTCTTCCCCACCCATTTCCTCATGCTGTTTCCAGGCTTTGTGGCCATGAAGGCCATCACCACCATGATGGTCTTTGCTAATACACAGGACACAGCAATGGAGAAGACAAGGCCAAAGATGATTTGCCTCAGAAGGCAGGTGACCCTCACAGGCCTCCCAATGAACAAGAAGGCACAGAGGAAGCAGAGCAGAAGAGAGGAGAGCAAGGTGCATGTGATGCTTCTGTTGTTGGCCTTGACGATGGGGGTGTCCCAGTTCAGTCTGAAGCTCATGAGCAGAATCACTGTGGCAACAATAAAGACAAATGCTGAGGCTGACAGAACCATTCCCAAGGGCTCCTCATATGAGAGGTAGCTGATTCCTTTGGGAATACACTGGTCCTGCTCCTTGTTAGGATACTCATCTTCGGGACACATCTTACACTGCTCTGCATCTGAAGGCAAGAAGCAAGGAAATCTCAGCACAAAATTCACAAATTCTGAATTGTAAGGTCTGGGGTACTCTTCCAAATCCCTGGGAATCCCTTCATGTACCCATCTGTGTTGAAATCCTCCCTTGGGGGCATGCAAGGCAATCATAGCAGCACACTGGCTTCCCCTCCTGGACTACCATGCTCTGCCCAGGGTGGCAGTTCTTCACACAGCTGGACCTGGGCATTGTCTGAGGGAAAGGAAAAAGAAGAACACATTATTGGGAATTGCTCTAATACATCTGTCAGTGTTCTCTGATAGTTGTGCCTGGCGGCTCAACATAGGCATCTACTTGTGAGGAAGAGGCAGAAGCTAACAGTGTGTTGTGCGGGGTGACGGCTCACAGTTGTAAATGACCCACACTTATGCAGGCAATAAAACTAAAGTTCTTTATTGCTACTTATCTACAAAATTTACGATGCTATGAATCAGCCCTACAGCAATGACCTTAACAAGTCAGTTTCTACCTTTCCAGTGACATCTTCTCAGGGAACCCACGTGGGATTAGCTTTCTTGGCCCCACCTTTCCCCCCTAAGGTGGGACAAATTCTCCTTCTGTTCCAATTGGCATAAGCTACGTCTAAGAAACGTGTGAGACAAATCTATCTCGCCTCTTGCGTCTCCTGTATCCTGCTCAGGAGGCTCAACGTCAGGAGGAAGGGGGCATCCTGCCCAAGCTCTTTTGGAGCAGGAAGTGTAGTGTCTTTTCCCTCGGGGCTCTCGTGGTCGGACTGAGATGTGGCTGTTTGCCCAAGGGGTAAAGGGTCAGGGTGAGGACCAGCTGCCTGTTCAGTTGGTCCCAAGCCAGGTTGTGGAAGGGTCACTTGGTCCAAGTATAAGTCCTCCTGTTCCGATGACTGATCCCCCCCTTCTGGCATTTGACCCTTCCTCATGAGGTGCCTCCTCTGTTGAGGCATCAGGCATGACACAGTGAGAGTCAGGCATTAGAACAAGGGGACTTAAACTTGAGTCCCAGTGCTCAGACAGCCCCTCTGCAGCCTGACTCTGAGACTTCAGAGCAAGTAACCTCTCCACAGCCTGACCCCTTAGCCCCTGCAGACTGATGGTGAGGTGTCCAAAAGAGTAGCTTCCCCTCATCCTAGCTCTGAGGTGCTTGAACAAGTTTCCCCCACCCCGACTTTGAGACTGCTGGACAGAGTTCAGGAGAACAAGAAGACATAACAGTGAATTTGGCAAATTCCCAACTTAGAAGTTTAAGGTGTTTCGACCAATTACGACAACAAGACAGAGATCTGTCCCACCCAAGAACGGAAAGATGAGACAGGAGGATCTAATACCACGTGGGCTTCTGAGGTAGCTCAGAAAGGATGGAGCAAGTGAACTATTAGGAGCTTGTTGCCAGAATTTATCTGTTACATCATAAATCTTGTAGCGAATAGCAATCAAAGTCTTTAGTTTTACTGCCGGTTGCTGTGTGAGTTAATTGGAGATGTGAGTTACGACCTCACCAGATTGGCTTTCCGGAGTATCTGTGGCTTTCAGCTAAGGGCACATTCACTTTGGCATGGACAAAAGAAGCCTATTGGAGGAATTGCTTCCTTCTCAAGACAATGGGAACCCAGACTCTGCCTCATGTCACCTATCAGCCATCTCAACTTCTAGAGGAACTCAGTTTCCCTTGTGTTGCTTGCAAATTTCTGTTTTGACTCAACTCAATAACCTCAGCATGTGTTTTCTTCTCCTAAGGAAATCTGCTAGCGGTTTCTCTCTGAGAAGTCTCAGATTCTAAAGAGGTACTTAGTAAAGCCCAGGAACCAGCATCAAGGTGAGAATCTTCCATGCTACAGCCTCCATACGTCAGCAGGACCCACATCTTAGTATCCAGACATAGGAAAGCAACCCAGATCTTAGTAGCCAGGTCACTGAGAAACACTGAATATGAATTTTCCTTCATCTAGGAATCAATTTTGTCCAAACATAAGCCAATTCTTAGTTTTCAATGATTCTGAGGGCTTGAGAAGCCACCCATATCATTTAATGTATATTCCTCAATTGCTCGGAGTCCAGCAGAAAGAGGCAATATCCTGTATGAGAATGGACAGCTCAAGCAATTTCAGAACATCACTTTGGCTACATCTGAGGGGTGTCCTAGGAAAAATCCCTAGAAGAACACCTATTCCACATTATCCTCCAACGTACTGAGTTTTTTCCCCAGATATCTGATCTCTGCTCTTCATGCCATGGACCTGGTGAGGGTGCCTGAAGCATCTCATTTTACTCCAGCCCACACCAATCGCTCCAAGAAGGGAGGAGCAGATAAGGTCATGGTGCCTTCTCCCTCATGCATTTCCAACTCCCAGGAGCTGCATGAAGCGTCTCCTGGAAGGATGCAACTGGGAACATGAAAGAGAGGTCAGGAGCACAAGGGGTCTGCAGAAGAAGAGGAAAGCTCAGGCTGCACAGCATCCTTGGGACTCAAAGCTTCTCTCCTTGGTTATGGAAGGACGAATCAGCTGTATAGGCCCAGAGGCTCAGCTAGCAGCTTTTTCATATTTAAATGAAGGAAAGGAAGTTTCATTGCCTCCGTTCCCTTCTAACTCCTCTGGGCTGCCCTTTCTTTTTATATCTAGAATGCTTATTAATGCTTCTATTCACCTCCTGTGTCCATGTGGACATGATCATTATGTCTGTTATGTCTATATATGTCTGGATAACAGAATGTGATGCTGGTGAGAGCTATAAGAATGATAATGCATAGAAAAAAATGATTATATATTGCTGATAGTATAAAGATGATCAGGATGATGGGGGAAATGATGAGGAAGCTCCCCACCTGATTAAACTTCTGATTCCACACAATGGCGCTTCCATTCAAGTTAAACCCATCTTCAGCAGTAGCTTGAGGTTTCACACTTCCAACTATGGCTCTGTGGAATGACCCATTGGGGAAGGTGACCAAATTGATGAGGTCATACCCTCCTGACAGCTCCCCGTTGTCATCAAAGTAGATTTCTTCCCCTGCACTATTGTTGAAACGGGTGCTCCTCAGAAAAGAGTGAATCTGGAGGAGAGGAGGGAAACTGCTGAGAATATATTGTTGTCCTGATAAACCAGACGTTTTCATTGCTGATGTGGAGAAAGTCCCAATAAAGCCTTCAGATAAATGTATCTTTTGTGCGTTTTCAACAGAAAACTGGCAGCACTGCCCCTTCTCCTCTCCACCTAAAGTACCCCTTCTCCTCTGCACCCCTAGAGACTGGAACATTTCTGGGCAGCTCCGTATCCCTGGAAAAGTAGGCAGCGCCAGGGGCTACTTTTGCATGAACCACTTCCATGAACCACATTTCATGGAAGTCCTCAGGTTATGTGAAGCAAGTCCTCTTCTCACATGATTCCAATTGAGCCAATGAATAACTTATGCATACATATACATTATTACATTTACAACTTATCTGTCCCCATCAAAATCCCCATATAAGCCTTCCAGATGTCACCTCTGAAAAGGAAACTTCAGCTTGATAGCTGGCTATTCAATATTGGGGTTAAAATAAGTGTGGTGGATCACACTTTTCCAGCCTCAGGAGCACAGAGGATTTGCTGAAAATGAGGGAGAAGTTGCAGAAAACTGATGATCAATTGCATTTTACATGCTGTCAGAAGTAAACAAATGAAAAAAAGAACAAAACAAAAGTTTGCCTCCACTCTGGGTCAATATCCTTAATGGATGCTTGCTGCATGCTGACTGTGGACACTTTCCAAGATATTGCTCAGTCCAGGATGCCCACTTTGCACCCCTGGAAGGGTGCAAATCCCTATTTATGCATGTCAGATTATCACAGAAGAAAGAAATAACAATTGTATTTGCAGCATTTTGAGAAGCTAACAGAAAGCCTGCCAAACCAGTGACAAGCCCTACAGTTTTCTGCTCGGGGATGTGTGTGCTCCTCCTGACATGCCTTTTGGCAGCCAAGGTGCATTTCCATCCTTAGGAAAGCTATGTCAGCTGAGAGGATGGCTGGGCAGGAGCACATCATTGAGGGAGATCTGCCGGTTGCCCCAGTGGGAGTGACCCCATGGCCACTAGACAACTTCACAGGGGCCAAGGAATATGCTGTATTCCTGCCACAGAGTTATTCTCAACTTGGCAGTAGAAATAGGAATGTTCTGCTCCCTGTGTCTTACCGACCACCAAGACTTGTTCAAGGGTCAACAGGTCAAAGGAGGGTTTTGGAAGGACGAGCAAGGGAGAAGCCCGGGGAGCCTGGGATATGAGATTTTGTGATACCTCCTTTGCCTCCCTCCTTCCCCTTCTGGGGCATTCAGCTAGGCCGTGGGGAAGGCCCATCCAGCCAAAGTGAAGAGCGGCAGGACAGGGAGGAGGGCCAGAATCATTTCCAATGCTCCTCCCATTCTGTACTGAATGCCTGTAAGCATTAGTATAAGAGAATCAACAGTATTTTAATATGATTGCATTGGAAAAGAAAAGGGGAGGGTGTAAAGGTAAAATGGAAAGGTGAGGGCAGCAGAAGGACTGAGAAACCCCCTGTTTAGAACAAGTCCACCCCCAAGTTCACTTTCACCATGTGTGTGCTGGTAAAAGGACATTCAGGGAGTCCATGCACACTCTGAATCATCAAGAAGTCACACATTATCACTCTTCACTCTGATGGTTCTTGGAATCCTGCCCTGCTCCTTCATTCTCCCCATCTGTAAGTTCAGCATATTCTGGAAGGGGAGCAGGGATGACCCTCTCTCCAATTTCTGTCTAAATGTGGAGCATTGCCTTCTTCCATGGGAAGCCTTCCTCCTCTCTGGAAAGTCTTGCTTGCATATTTTCAGCCCTGATGCCCACTTGCCTTGATTCCTTTCTCGTTAGGACAACGTAGGTCATCTTTGTTGCTCATCCTCAAAACAAAAACTCTGTGAGGCAGGTTGGGCTGGGATGGTCCAAAATCATGCAGCGATCTCCATGCCATAGTGGGAACAAGAACCTAGATCTCCTGAGCCCCAATGTCTCCTTCTAACCACCTGACCGCACTGCCTCTCACCAAAAGTTCGTTACTATTGTATTTGCTAACAGTGGGTATAGATAACTCAGTCCTTCTAATACCAGGAGACAAACCCAAGCCAACTCACTGAAATCAGAA